TGGGAATGGGAAACCGGGACCGGAACCGGGAACGGGAATGGGAAACCGGGACCGGAACCGGGAACGGGAACGGGAATGGGAATGGGAAACCGGGACCGGAACCGGGAACGGGAATGGGAAACCGGGACCGGAACCGGGAACGGGAATGGGAAACCGGGACCGGAACCGGGAATGGGAATGGGAAACCGGGACCGGAACCGGGAACGGGACCGGACCGGAACCGGGAATGGGAACCGGGAATGGGAAGCGGGAATGGGAAACCGGGACCGGAACCGGGAACGGGAATGGGAAACCGGGAATGGGAAGCGGGAATGGGAAACCGGGACCGGAACCGGGAACGGGACCGGACCGGACCGGAACCGGGAATGGGAACGGGAACCGGGAATGGGAATGGGAAACCGGGACCGGAACCGGGAACGGGAATGGGAAACCGGGAACTGGGAATGGGAACGGGAACCGGGAACCGGGAACGGGAACGGGAACCGGGAATGGGAAACCGGGAGCGGAACCGGGAATGGGAAACCGGGAATGGGAACCGAGACCGGAACCGGGAATGGGAACCGGGAACGGGAACCGGGAATGGGAAACCGGGACTGGAACAGGGAACGGGACCGGATCGGAACCGGGAATGGGAACCGGGAACCGGGAATGGGAAACCGGGAATGGGAACCGGGAACCGGGACAAGGAACGGGACCGGACCGGAACCGGGAATGGGAAACCAGGAACTGGGAATGGGAATGGGAACGGGAACCGGGAATGGGAAACCGGGACCGGAACCGGGAATGGGAACCGGGAACGGGAACCGGGAATGGGAAACCGGGAATGGGAAACCGGGACCGGAACCGGGAATGGGAACCGGGAATGGGAACCGGGAATGGGAAACCGGGACCGGAACCGGGAACCGGGAACGGGAACCGGGAACGGGAATGGGAACGGGAACCGGGAATGGGAAACCGGGACCGGAACCGGGAACGGGACCGGACCGGAACCGGGAATGGGAACGGGAACCGGGAACGGGGAACGGGAAACCGGGAGAGCGGAACCGGGAATGGGAAACCGGGACCGGAACCGGGAACGGGACCGGGGAATGGGAACGGGAACCGGGAACGGGGAATGGGAAACCGGGAACGGGGAATGGGAAACCGGGAACGGAACCGGGAACAGGAAACCGGGAATGGGAACCAGGAACCGGGAATGGGAACCGGGAACTGGGAATGGGAAACCGGGAATGGGAACGGGAACGGGAACCGGGAACCGGGAAAGGGAACCGGGAACCGGGAATGGGAACCGGGAACGGGAAACCGGGAATGGGAACTGGGAATGGGAAACCGGGAGAGCGGAACCAGGAATGGGACCGGATCGGGATTGGAACCGGGAACGGGAACCGGGAATGGGGAAACCGGGACCGGGAATGGAATCGGGAATGGGGAACGGGACTGAAACCGGGAATGGGAAACCGGGACTGAAACGAGGACTGGAACCGGGACCGGGACCGGGAATGGGGAAACCGGGACCGGGAACGGGACCGGGAGCGAGCTCGGGGGGCCGGGACCGCGGGAGGATCCGGGAGGGTCCCGGGGGTGGTCCCGGGATTCGGGGATCCCCCTCCCCCCGTGCCTCAGTTTCCCCTCTCGCCTTTCAGCCCCCAGCGGAGCAGAGCGGGACCCCCCCGGGGACACCGGGACCCCCAAAAACACCCCGGGGACACCGGGACCCCCCAAAAACACCC